GGGGGGGGGGCAGTGTGATGAGCATGTGAAATCTCTTCTTATAGTGACTTGATGATGATGGAGGAGTGTATGTTCGCATGTCTTCAGTTGTGCATACCTTTATGTGTGTAGCTGTGTGTTTTTTTCAGCACTGGCTGCCTAAGAAATGCTTCACTTTGGCTCTCGGAATGTCCTCAGGGCTTCGGGCTAATGTTTCCTGTGTCTTGAAATCGTACACCCTCAACCCACAATGCACATAGAACATGCACATGGCAATTACAACAAACATGAAGAAACTGCCCTTTAAAGGGCTCTAACTCCTGGCGACACTCGTATCACATTCCCATGCTCCCGTTAAGTCTGCATGTCCTTCTTCTCGGAATGTCGAAGGCAGCGAGCAAGTAAGCCACAAACCGCACTCCCTATCAGCCTTTGCATCATGATGCTAACGCTGAAGCAGCCTTGGCGCAGGACTACATTTTGTACCGTGCATTATTCCCCCATTGCTCCAGCTGCCACTGCTACTGTAATAGCCTCTCTGCAGATACCTTGGAGCTCTGCCGTAACACACTCTGCTGATCTTAGATTTGCATTCCATCCTCAGTGACACAGGCAGAGACAGAGAGGGGAGAGAATAAATGTGGAAAGGGAAAGAGGGGGGAAATAATTGACCACGTATGTGAATTAGAAGAAGTGTGAAAAAATGAAGTGGGGATGATGCCAGTAAACTATGACCCACAGCTAGACATGCAGCTGGTGTGCGTGTTGCATTCAGCCAAGCTTGTCAGGCTCAAGGATGGTACAGCATAGGATTGTGATGCCTGAGATGCTGCACAGAAGCCTGGCTGCTGCAGCAATTGAGTCACGAAGCGCACACAGAGACGTGCTTCCTCCATCAGAGTCCCTTATATAGCAAGATGTGTGCGTGATGTCACTACAGACATGGTGCTGAGTCGCAGCGCAGCGTGCAGAAAATCCACCAGCAGTGAATCATCCTAACAGGCCGACAATAGAGAGGCATGTTCGCTGTCTGTGCGGTGCAGTGTGGGAATACAGGAGAATGCTTTCTGCTGCACCATTCCGAACATTCCCGCCGAGGGTACAACAGCAGCTCCCGTTACTGCTGGTTTCCTGTTCTCAGCCAACTAGAGAGATCCTCTGGTGTGACAGCGTAGGAAGCAGGAGGCCTCATTCGGTTGGTGATGAAAATAAGATTCAATTCAGGGATAGAGACCCTGAATTTACAGTATCACTATAGCTGGACTCTTATATATACATGCACTTTTGACACTGACTTCATTCATCGTTGGCTAGTTGGTTTGCACGGAGATGGCCAAAAGCAGTTAAAAACAATTAAGACGCATGTTCTCAATGGGTTCTGTATATTTTCAAAAACACTCCTAAAACCTTTATAATATTGGCTTATCCCACGTCTAGTGGTAAAGTGCTACCATGCTAATAAGCTTAATCCGGAATATCAAAGCAGTATATTGTGTTACAGTACCATGCTAGTGTGCATTTAAAAGAATACACATCGCATTTATATTCGTTTGGGTCTATTGGCTATAGATCCTGATATCTAAGTAAGAAAGAGCACCATTGGTTTACATGCAAAAGCAAAAGAGTGTATAAAGCCTCTCGGTGGTGCGGGGTGGCAAACCTTCATTCAAACACACAGACATACTAATGCTGTGTAAACATGCTTTCTGTTTATGCTTTCAGCAAAGCCTTGTCCACCGCCGGCGCGTCTAAATTCTAATATTAAAATCATATTTTGAAAGTACACTCTCCTTATCAAAAGCAGCATAATGTATCAAATCTGTGGCTCAAAAATCATGGGATTACACTATGGCCCAGGAAGATTAAAAAGAGTGACCCTAAAAGATTAGAAGTGACCTGACATGCTTGCCATGATAAAACCTTTATGCTGTTATTTTTACGACATAAAAACGAGTTGGTAAAATGATGTTTGTATGTGATCAGAAAGCATCCCCAGCCAGAGCACAGGTCCCAGGCTGCAAATGGACTCAATTGTTTCACTCTATACTGTATGTGATAATATGTGTGTAGCACTGCCTGAGCTATCCAAGCTATGAAAAAAAAGCCTCACATCAAGCAGGTAGCAAGTAATTCACATTTGATGTGGGTTTACAATTTAAAAAAGGATGTTTTCAAACATATATACTGTATATACACAGAGCATCAGCAGCACACAAACTAGTGATCAATTTACTTTAAAGTGTGAGAACTTCAGCCTTTAAACTCAAAAGCATTGAGCAACTATTTTTCAGTCAATGACAGGGGCATCATGTTTATTCAAAAAGGAAGTTAAATGCACTTGATTGTAACAAAAAACATTAACCATTAAGCTTTCAGTTATCCCTGAGGCAAAGACAGCTAGTGCACTTTTAGGAATTAACTGTAGATGTAATAGCAAAATGCACAACCTTAATTTTCCTGCAGCTTTAATTGTTAGACCATTAAATAAACAATTAAACCACATTGTATTATCAGACATTCAACATCCAAACTGCAGCCAAAACAATGAGAAACAATCAGCCTTACTGAAAGGAAACGTCCGATCTTGGGCTGTAGCTCAAATCTCTGCCTTGCTTCTCCACGCTAGAGCCGGTCTGATCCAAACTAGCTAGCACCAGTTTTGTCTCACAGCCTAGAGCCAGGCCCTTGTTGTATCTCCAATCCTCTCTGCTCATGCACTAAAAACGGTCCTTGTTTTATTTCTAGAAGGCTTTGAATGGTCTGCAGACAGAAGCAGTCAGTGTGGTCCTGCAGCAGCTCCGTCCACTCTGCCTCGGCTGCTTCTCACGGAACATGTTAAATAAGAAAGCCAAAAGCAATCAAGGTGAAAATGCAACGCTGCCCCCGTGGGTATAGTGCCACCTCTACTTTGCGGATAATGGAGAGAAGTCAAATGAGAACAAATGAGTGGCGCTGTATTGTAGAGCTCTCCTCTAAGAGCAAAGCTGGCCCACTAATGACAACAATACATCCTAGAATGGTCTCTATTGAAATGAGATAACCAGAAAGAAAGAAAAACAAGCTGAATGTGCATGTCTCAACCCGATAGCAATCAGAGAAGAAGAGAGGAGAGGAGGTACAAATGCCTCTAAGCGTCCATTTACGAATGCAGCGTTACTCTCCCTTCTTAGACTAAGTCAGTCGGCCTCTGTGTATGCAGGACGCCCCTCAGAGTGAAAAAACACATTAGATTCCCCCGTTACCTGGTACAATCAAACCGGGTTGAAATCCTGCAGCATCCCGACAGTTTAGCTACAATTCCCAATATCCAAATGATGATGTAGCATTATCATGACCTGCTTTGTCTGGGCCGATCTGCTGCTCTTACACTCTGCTGCATGTGCATAGACCGCACAGTGTATGACCCTGCTGCAAGGGATTCTGGGTTCTGAAAGCAAGCCAACTCTTGGGTTTAACGCCATCATCATGTGATCGCTACGATTGGCTGGAGGTCGAGCGTCGACTCGATCCACTGAGTCCTCTGCCTAAGAAAGAATTACATTGCTAGGTTTATTACGAGCTGACATCTACTGTATCCCCCAGCGCAAACAGAGCAGTGCGTTTCACCTAATATCATTCAGATCGCTAAGATTAACAAATGACATGGTTTTTGTATTATTTTCAGACATCGAATGACATACAGGAGCAGGGAGGGAGATAAATAGAGGCAGGAATAGAGAGATTGAAAGATGAGTCTACCACATGATTTCTGTGCTTCACAAAACGGATCAAATTCTTTTTTCCCTGGTTGTGCACCATGATGACGTAGATGTTTTTCAGTGACCTGGTTTGATAAGTCTGCTGTGTGGGTGTGTGGGTGTATTATGACTGACTGTATCTAGGTGTTTTAAATTCT